GTGTTAATTGCGCAGGTTGACATAGATGGACACAGAACTGTTATGTTGTGGAGTGCAGCCGCTCGATTGAGTGTGTTGAATGCGTTTGAGGTATCAATCAGAAGTACGGCATCTGTCTCATCTGCTTCAAATATGGAGTGCATCGCATGAACGGCTGCCTCACTTCCGCTCTTAAGACCTGCGCACACCTGTAGCGATCCACTGGCATCAATCACGTCGGGCTTAATCACTTTCATAACACCCTTCCCGACAATCCTCCTTATAACTTCCCCGACGCCAATTGGACGAACCGCGCCCTCGCCTTTGTCAAGAGGTATAAGCCTGTTAACTAATATAGGCTCGATAGTTCTCGGGTCAATGTATTCCGTGCATAGCCGTCGGGTCATTGTTGCTACTGCCTCACACAAGTTTACGCCTGATTTCTTAAACGGTGGTTGCATCCCTTTATTAAATCATTTTCCCCAATTTCTTCAAAATTTTGGTTTAGTGTGTTTTATATATTTTAAATATTGTACTTTCAGAATTTATAGTTATTTTTATGAAATTTTTATTTTTTAAATGTTATCCAAAATTTACATGAATTATTAAAAAAACGAGTCTTTTGCAGTTTCTACTTTTGATGTATGCTTTTTAAGGTCCTTTTTGTTAGCTGCAATTTGATTGGTTCATTTTGCATGTACATGGCAACCCCTTTTTCATAGCAACTTCGCGGTCATTCGCAGCAGCTCTGGCTGTAAACATAGCGTCGAAAATCTTTGTTATTTCTGATTATTTAGACGAAAATTACTGTTCTTTGTTGAATATTAGTATCGTTCTGTTATTTTGTTTGTGATTATCGATAAAAATATTGGAAATAATCGAAATAGAAAGAGAAAAAAGGCAAGAAATTCACCGTCAAAGAAGGCCACGAAATTCAAGATGGCGGCGAACCATGTTGATCAAAACCCTAGGCCATCTAAGATGAAAATAGACGATGTAAGTGTAAAGTTTGGCTACAATCCTGGTCATACTGACTATGTTAAAGCAGGTACTATATTTATGGACTTGTTAGTTCTGTTTGGCGTTTTTAATCAAGTCCTGAAATCATTGCCTTGAGTGTGGGAACAACATGACTTCCCATGTTGACATGAAAAAGAAGAATAGCTTCTCCCATTACATTGTCATGCAATGTTATAACATGGAGTGTGAATGGAAATGCTGCTTCCATACTTCACAAAACCAAGGGGCCATCATATGAAGTTAAAGTCCTTGGCCTCCAGCCTCCTGGCATTCAGAGAAATTGGTCGAGGCCATAATACTATGGTAACATTCACCAAAGTATGCCAAAGTCATGAACATGCCATCACGGAATCACCATAATCCAGCTGGAACTTTACAAAAATGCTAAACAAGCTGCTGCCTGTTGTGAAACAGTTGGCAAATGACAGCATGCTAAACAATACCATGATTGTTAAAGAGACTTGTGAAATGACAAAGGCGAATGTGGAATTTCTTGTTCATTATTGATGAATTATTAACAAATTACATCATAAATATTTCAATTAAAAGTACCAATAATGCAAAATTCCATTTTTGGCTCTAAAATTTTTTATTAATGAATTCTGGAAAAAAATTAAGAGTGTCACATAATAGATGAGGTCCTAAGCTTTTAAAAACTGCGACACTTCCAATTACTTGACAAAATGTCGTAATATTCAGTCGTAAATTTAGAAAACCTCCCTTTATGAGTACAATATAATTAAAACAAAAACATTTATGTTAGAAAGCAAAATTATTCATTTTGCTTTCTATTAAATGATGATATCATGACAGCTTAGTTGGACTGTTGTTTTGAACAGAGTTACAGAAATACGGGACCAGGATTTAATTCAGTAGTGCCTGAGAAGTAGCATACAAACCTCGTAATGTATTTAAAAAGTGTGGACCAATGATTACTAGCATTTTAAGAAAATTTTTAAAGTTTAATACTTTGCTAATATTTATCCCCACATATATAACTTCTAACAAACTGAGTGGATTTCAACACGTTCTCGATATATATTCTACTAAGGTTGGTGTAATGCTTGTGGGACATAGATATTGTACGCATGCGCAGTGAGAATTGTGTATTACAAAAATTAATCCCTGACTTATAGCGAAAAATGCTTTTAAAGTGGTCATGATCCATAATTTTCTCCCTAGCAAGACCTTAGTAACGAGTTTTTATCCAAAATTTACATGAATTATTAAAAAAACAGAGTCTTTTGCAGTTTCTACTTTTGATGTATGCTTTTTAAGGTCCTT